ATACTATATAAAGATGTTACTTAGAATTAAGATTTAGAAGTCATATAATACTTTTTATTATTATTGTCTCGTTTTCTTTTCTAATTGAGTTTAACCGAGCACTAATCGAGAAATCACGTTGGAATATTCTCCCGTTCATCAGTTCACACGGGCTGCATCTCATCAGATCACCAGCACCAGTTCACACGTCCAGCAAGTCTTCCTTCCAGATTCTTCTTCAGTTCACGTTCAGCACCTGTTATTCCATCACCAGCACATGCATCTTATTCTAGATCCTTCTTCCAGTAGTTAGTTTGTTAGATAGTTTTCTCTATAAATAGAGCTATATAATTCAAGTTCTACTTGAGCTTGATGAATATATAGCCCCCGTTTGACACCAATTATTTTGAAGAATTAGTTTTTGAATAGTGATTGATGTAAAGAATGTGTGGTTAAAAAGTAAGAAGAATTTTTGGATTTATGTGTAATATTATTTTATTTGGAGAATGTGTGGTTAGAAATGAGTACTGTAGAAAAAGAGAAAGAGAATGAGATAAAAAAATGGGTGTCAAACGGGGGCTAAAATTATAAAAAGTTGGACCTATTAAATAGTAAAAGAAGTATAGAGATCAATAAAAAAAATTACCTGTCCTACTTTAGGTGCATGCGTGAAAGCATCACTACAACAAAGTTAATTTTTCATAACATGCATTGTATGCTGTAAGAACTCTTTACGGCGTGCAAAGGATGTTGTATAGAGAACGCCGTAATTAATTTTATGGCGTTCATGTGCACGCCATAGAAAGTATATCACCCGAGGAAGGGTTTTATCTTTTCATTTTTCAAGTCAAAAATGAGATCTAACATATTTGATGTTGGACGAGATTAGATAAGGACTGAAATGAAATCTAAACACCGAGAAAGGGTACTATCTTTTCATTTTTCAAGTTGAAAAATATTCATTCGTGATTAGACAAGAGTAAATTGAATTAGACGTCGAGGAAGAGTTTTATCTTTTCATTTTTCAATTCGCAACTATAGACATGACTTAGTTACTAAATTTTATTTTTACATTTTTCAGGTAAAGAAGGAGACCGGCAACAAAACATTTCTGGATGGATTAAGTCTCCAATTGGTAGGATTAAAATTTAGATTTTACTTTAAGTTAAATTCAACATTTAATTTTAATCACTTACTTTCTTGAATCCACAATTTTTCAACAACACATTTCATTCAACTAAAAATCTGATTTTAATCTCCATTGAAGAAAAGGAATATAGTCTCTCCAAAAAGTTGGTGAAGAAAAGGAAAAAATGGTGATTTTTAATGGGATATTCTTTACTTCCTTCACCAAAATAAATTTGAGTTTACATAGTGATTAGTGAGATCTGCAGCATTATGGATGAAAATCCGTACAAGCATTTCTGCGGAAAAAGATTCTCGAGGGTCTGGGCATCATAGAAAGGGAGCAATTGTGGAGCATGGTCTCTTGAACAAAGACAGTTAATACAAAACCAAGTACAACAATCCAACTGGCTTCCACACTTTAAACTTTAAACTATGCCACATAGTTTTAAACATCAAGAGTACAATTTTTTTTCTTTTAACTTCATTATTGAGCACCAAGGGGAATCATACTAAAGATGTCAGGGGTTTGCCAAAACGAGTTCCACAAAAAAAAGGGCAATTAAGTTAACTTGTGGAGCTTAATTACGAAGTATGAGAAAACAGGGTGTTCTTTGTAAATTTCTTTTTATCATACTGAATTACTATACTGATGAATGAGGACGAATTTTTACATTGACACGAAACTCTATAAATCTTGCGTGTTTTTTGTATTTTTATTTCCTTACTTTGATTTTATTGCTCTTGATTGTATAGAATTAGGTTTGTAATTCTCAAAAAACTAGAACTTTGTTTGAGCCACATTTTTTTTTTTTAAGAATGTATTTTGGAATAATAGATTGATGAAAAATGCGTGGTTACAAAATAAAGAAATTTTTTGGATTTGCCCGTAATATTATTTTATTGAAGAATGTATAATTGAAAAAAAAAAAAAGTATGTTGAAAAAAATTGAGAATCAAACAAGGACAGGATAAGACTGCTCTTCTGCTCTTGTAGCTAGTGAAATCATCAGCTAATTAAGCATAATCTTATGAGATATGGGCCACAATTAAAAGGGAGATTGAGATTTCAAGAAGTCAAAACACCTGAGATTTGGGACTATAGGGATTTCACTTATTTCTTATGAAAAGAAATTAAGCCCAAAATCACATGAAATGACTCATTTTAAGTACACAGAAATAATTGATTGTTTTCTGTAGTTTTCTTGTAACAACAGTATACTCCCATACATTAAAACGGTTACTTTCTCGTTGTATAAGAGGCATCAAGCATTTGAATTTATTTAGTAGAATATAACCACATATGGAAAAATATTTCTTTTTATTTGTAACCCTAACAACGAACAATAAAGAAAATATCATCTTGATCAGCCAGAAATGAGCAAATTATATCTCTAAAAAGAGTTTGTAGGTGGACAATCTATAAGATCTGATTCAGACTTCAACCCACAAAGAAACTGAATCATAAATTCCAAAACAGCATAAAAAAATAGCATTCTTTTGTGAATTGAATTACCAAAAACACATAGATCTTACCTTGAACTGGAAAATTCATAAAGTTTGCCTCTGGGAGAAAAGATAATCAGTGCAACCTCAGCATCACAAAGAACTGAAAGCTCAAATGCTTTCTTCAGCAGCCCATTTCTTCTCTTGGAAAAGGTCACTTGCCTGCTGGTGGCGTTTTCTATACGCCTCATCTGAGTTTTTCCTCTCACCATTTTTCACACACCTGGTAAAATCAAGAGAACTACATGAAAAATGATGCACGAAATCAATATTCTTAAATAGAGAAGCGTAAGTGCAGAATTGGTATGCAGTAATAGACCGGACGAAACGATCGAGATCTTGAGATCTTTTCTTTCTAATCCTTCCTACCAAATATGTCATAAATGTTTTAATTATGAGAAAGAATATCTATGAGATGAAGATGAACTAAAAGGAAGAATTTATAGTTCTTAACCTGCGGAGCAAGTTTTCGAAAGATTTGCCAATTTTGAGTGTGAAAACAAAAGAAGAAAAAAGCAAGACTTTGTGCAGTGTGGTAAAAAAGGGATGGATGGTCTATAAATTTGGAAAAATCTCAGAGAACCTTTTGGCTGGAGGTGGGAGGGGCATAGAGCCTAAAAAAGGGTAGACACAAATATGAAGTGTGTGTACGTGAGATCGAGAGAGAAATAAAAGGAAAAAATTCAAGAAAATCCCAAAGGTTTAACAGAAGATGGTGCAACTGTGCAAGTGATTGATTGATTCTCAGTCTCCATTTTTGGGTTTTATCATCATAAGCCGAAGACTCCGAAGACTTACACAGTCTCTCTCTCTCTCTCTATCTCTATCTCTATCTCTCACACACACACTCTCTCTCTCTCACACACGTTTTTTTTTCCCCCTTATTCATAGGTATTATTTCTTGCTTTCACTTTATAGCCAACCCCACCAAGGAAAAAGAGAACACAGTAATATTTTAGTTGAAAAAACCTAATTCTTTGCTAGTTTTGGTAAAACCCCACAAAAGAAACAAAGATGAAAAATTAGTTTGTAACGCAAAAGGAAAATGGAATATATAAAAAAGGCACTCCAACAACAATAATGTTAGAGAGAGAGAGAAAGGGACAGACATACATTTGGGATATAGCCATTAAAATCTTGGTAAAAACTTGAGGCGTCCGTACAAGTTGGATCCACTGCAACATCTTAGTACTCGTATGAGAGATCGACAACTCATAAGGGTGTTGGGATGGATGAGGGGACAGAATTGATTACACGTGGGGGCCTCCATTGTCCTTGTGCTACTTTCAACTCTTTCCTCATATGAACAATATATATATATATATATATAAACATTTTGATTACTCTTTATAGCTCTTTGTGTTAAAATCTTTTTTGTGATATTGTAAAAATGTCCACTTTTCTTTTATGGGTGTTGGATTGTGTGTGTGACTTTCAGAAATGTTGAAGTGTGACTTGTCTATAGTTATTGATTTCTTTATCTATTTTTAGTAAAATTTTGGTTAATTTGATTTCGAGTTTTTCATTTCCAGTTACATGTATCATTTTTAATTTAGCTAGATTTTCTATGTCCAATTAATTTCGTTTTATTGTTGTTATAACGATAAAATTAGGTTCGTTTGATATTTTTGAAACTCAAATTGTGAAGGATTAATGAAATGAATGGTGAATAGGAAATCTAAGCTTTGTCGACATACTATCCCTATGTGCATACGGCTACCTCATGGGGGTTCGAATCTGGAATCCACTCAATAGGGGTGGCGCACGGTGAATGTGGTCAAAAAATGTTAACACTTCTTTTAGCGATGTAATCATTGTGACATCCCAAAACTTTACCATGATTTTATTGTGACATACCTTTCATGTAGTCTAGTAAAAGTTGTGTTAATGATAATATAACCTTATAAAAAGAATTTAATTAAGATTTTGATTATTAAAAATAAATAATCATATGAAGAAATTAAGGGGAATGAGATGGTTGCCCTATAGATACTACCTTGTCACGCTAATTATTATAATGACAAATGGCCTATTAGGGTAAAATGTGACAAAGAAATAATTAGGGAAAATTAATTGTAATGACAAATGGCCTATTAAGGTAAAATGTGGTAAAGTAATAATTAGGGAAAATTAATTTAATTATTATTTTAATTCTCAATCACTACTATAAATAGAAGAGAATGAGAGAAAAATAGAACATACAACAATTTGAAAACTAAAGACAAGTAAAGAAAGTACTTTTATTATCTTGCAACTTGAAGGTGAGTAATCTATGCTTATTTTTATTCCAAACATATTTATTACAATTATGTTTATTGAATTACTTCTTACTGTTTTAAATTGATTATAGATTCAAGATTCTACCCATTGACATTGCATTGGATATTGGTATTGCGTTGAATAATATTATTGATTATACACCAAATTGGTGTAATTGACTATTGAGCTCATATTATGTTATTCTCAATTTGCGCGCACGGGTATAATTGAACATCTATAATTGGGGCCCATTATCTTCCTTATTTATTTTGGAAAGAAAGACATTTACGGTATAGATTACTCACTGAATAAGTGTATTCAAATTATTATTTTTATTCTTTTGTAGATGATCACCATTGAGTATATTGACTTTACCTTGAGGGAATGAAGGATTTCAGAAGACGGACAATATTACGTGTATATCAAGGAAGTTTATACATGGATGATATCCAGAATTCCCATGCTTCCACCACTTTTTGGGAGACCATTACTATACTGACTATTTTGAGGTCATTACTATGATGTACTTATTTACTTAGAGTTTTCGAAGTCTTTAATATGTAGTGTAACTTTTGTGTAACAACTAGTCTCTAATGTACTTTTTGCTGTATAACGAAGTATGTAAGGAAATGTTTAACTATCTTATAGCTAATGTTGCCTACCTATTTCATATCTTTCAATGATAGGGATTGAAAAATATCAAAATATGAGTTTGATCATTAGAATTTCTAGCTTCCCTACAAATTAACTGCTCCCTATTTACAAAGCATTATAAATTTAAGAATCAACCTTATTCTTTGTACATACTAGGCCCATCAGGAAGATCTAAAGTGACCACCTCTCCTATAGGTGATCGCTTGACTAGCACATTAAGAGGAAGTAAATCGACCAACGAGCTCATGACAAAAGCAAGCGGACTCCTACTCGAAGCTAAACCACTATCAAATGATTCATCCTCTAAAAGCTCGTTGTAGAAATTCTCCCTAAAAATAGTAATCGAGTGTGTCGTCGCTTGATCGATTGAACATTGGATCTCGTATTCGACTCACTAGAAGAAACAATAGATTCCTCACTCAACATTCTCAAAAGAACCACTACTAGAAGTAATGACCAATGTAAATTTGAAGGTAAACTGAAGATAGGAATTACATGAATAGAATTACACAATAAGATCAAAAGAGAAATCCGATTGATAATGGTTATCAAAAGAACCACTACTAATACTAAATTTATGATAATTCATTTTATTGCCCTCATATA